TGGGCCAAATGTCTTCTTGTTAACCGCCACTCTCCTTTTCTTCTTCTTCCTGAAAAATCCTTTCAGTCCTCTTCGTTCTTCGTCTCCCTTCTTTGCCTTTGATTTCCTCGAGCCACCACGACTGCAGGTCAGCAGCAGACCAAGATGGACTGTCATCTTTGGGCACTTTTGAATCTTATAAGACGAACGCAACAGATTTCTTAGTGGGACTATATAATTCGAGCTCTAATAAGATTTGTGTTCTAGTCCTAATTGGATTCCCCCCTCCATAATTTTCTAAAAAAATTATAGACCGGACTCTTTCAAAAGTATATATATTACAGTTCACCCCCTGTAATTTGCAGTTTGCTCCCTGAAACGATTGCAGAAAATCCATTTGGGCCCAGATTTTGCGATCCAGTCTAGAAATTACAATTTACCCCCCAGGTTAAGCCATGTATATGATCATTTAAAGAAATAGTAATAAGATTATTATATTTTCTTGCTTCGCGAATTTTCCCCTGTTTTTGATGATTTTTATTGACCCTTAATCGAATGTTCCTTTCATCAGTAAGGGTAATTAACAATAAATTCTTGAGTCTATTGGGAACCATGAACCCACGTAAAAAAAAAATTAAAACCCTCTCTCGTAGGGTGAATTTGATGGGATCCATATACAAGACAAAATTATCCATCTTAATTGGATGCACTAATACGCAACTATTTTAGATAGACAATTTTGACCCCACAATGACTCGTTATAACTCGTGCAGATCTGTTAACTCACACATTGGAAAATTTTCAAAAATCCTTGCTGCGGGCTTCATTCTAATATTAGACCAGATTTTTGTCATTGATTGAAGCAGATGTATCCATAAGAACTCTGTATTTGATGGTCACGGTGTTTTAAAAAAGTTTGAGAAGAGTAGAGCACACTGTCATGCCTTTGGAACCCTTAAATGCCCTGGCAATGCAAATAGGCGAAGAACGTCATTCATTATAAGGTAGAGATATCGAAAAATTAAGAAAAACGGAAATTGAAATATTACTAGCAAATGAAGAATTGAGAGTTTTATGGCTGTTAAATGACAGGGTCATTGGCAGAGTCCCAGCTCATGAGTCACCCTACTGACTTCTTATCGAATCATTAGCGGCGGAGTTCTAAGCTCTAGAGTAACTTATCTATTGATTATTGTACTAATTTGATTTTTGATTTGGTAATAAAGAGAGAAGCAAGGAAGATACTGAATTGGATTTAGACCTTTTTATGTGGATTATGATTGATTTGGTAGGAAATGAGATTTGATTCAATTTTTACCATTTTACAAAGGTGATCTCTTTTTTTTTTGGAAATTGGAGGAATTGAAGGACGAATTCTTTTGACTTGCTTGAATTTCAATTATTAAGCTGTTTTGAAATTGCTCAATTAAAGGAGCCGTTTTAATTCTAGAAAATTCTTTTGACATACTTCAACTGAAAGTGTCAAACAAATACGTTCACACATTATGATTATTTTTAGTGAAAATGGAACAATATGCCATATTAACAAATTGGAGGGAGTGGCGAAAAAGAAAGGACTCTTAAGAAATCATATACATCAATCCTAAAAAAAGATTTGAAATCTCGCACTTAAGCAAATACATATCCGTCCTATAAAAAGACTGGATATCATCATGAACTTTATCATTGTAAGAAAAAAAAATTGGCATTCACACAGTTTTATAGTTTAAGATTTATTTTTGAAAATATTTACCATTTTCGACCCAGTTTCAGCCACCTGACTGAAATTGGGTCGAAAGTGGTGAAAAAACATCAAAAACTTCATGGCAAGTTGTGGCCTTTGTTATGTGAAGCCCGTGTGTATCAAAATTTTCGTTTTTAGTAGTTTAGTTTATGTGACCTGGCAAGTTGTGGCTGTTATGCCACAAACACTTCATATTCCACGCGAGCATTTTGAATGTGAGAATAAAATCACCTTGTACTAAATATGGATAAATCAACCAGTTTAAAGTAAAACATTGTGCGACCTCTAACCAAATTGAACTTTATTACGAGTTTGTCAACAAGAATAAGACAAATTGAGAGACAAACGAACTGCAGCTAGATCTTTTCACTTTTAACACTAGTAGCTTTATCATCCCTGAAGCAGAAAAGGGAGAGCACAGAACACAATTTCTTCAAGACTGCCAAGATTGCATCAGAGTGTGAATCTGTTCGTGGGGAAAATCTGAAGGAAGCAGGCCAAACAGGAGCTCGAACGGGTGTTTGGAGGGCCATTTTCAGCATTCATCAGATCCAATTCACACGAACGGACGACTGAGAACTTGAACTCGGTTGGCAAACAGACACAAACCTGGTACGTACCAGTTTATGTAAACACAGGGGATCAGAGAAAAAGAAATGTTGTAGAGGAACAAGGACACGATGCACTTACTTACGTCGGTTACTGGTTAATTACTCTGGTACATATGTAATGGTGGCATTTGGGTATCTGAAATATACCTGCAAATGCCCATCCTATAGTTAGCGCTCGAATTTTGAACTATTTTTAGATAATGAAATTTACAATCCCAAACTACAGTGACATTATCAATTTCAAATGTTTGAATAAGGATAATTATTATAAAAGCCCCCCTTCAAGTTTGATCACTTATTAAGAAACCCCTTAATGAAATATACCTGTTGCTAATGATGATAACGTACACAAGAGCAAAACTTACCATAACTGTCGTCAGACACATTAGTTCTGCGACAAAAAGTTCATTACGGGTTTCTTTAATAACAAAAGTTTATACTAGTTTTGTGCAAATAATCAAAAGTTTATAACCATAAGATGAGAGAATGCCATGTGAAATAGAGGAAATAGACAGTGAGGAATTAGTTAATACGTACCGAACTTCAAATATTATGCCTTACTGAGAAGTCAGCAATGTTTCCGAGTAGAGACCAGTATTCTCCACCCTCTCGACATTTCTCCATCAATGCAACATTGCAGTACAGCGAGAGCGTCTCGAGCTCTAGCAGCGGAATGAGCCTCAACAACCACTCTGGCAGGCACTCAGTAAAGGCATCCTCCAAATACAAACTTAGACTTTGCAATCCCCCCATTTTCTCCACAGCCTTCAGTATTCTACTAGAATGTGCTATCGTCATCTCCCTAAGTGCCGGAAGATTCGAAATGCTTTCCAAACATGGACATTCTCTAACAGTCAATATTTCAACAGACGGGATGTTCTCGATTTCTGTTAGGGAATCCGCACCATGGATACAGCAATCTTTCAATGCAGCAGCTTGCTGAAGTCCCTCTGGAAGAGCTCTCAGCTTAGGACAGAAAAAGATTTGTAATTTCTGAAGACAAGGTAGCAGTTTGATGGTCGTTATTTTCCCCCCGTCGCCCTCATTGGCATCACATAATGTCCATTTTTCTAGGTTAGGCAATGCAATAAGGACCAACTGTTCAAGCCTGGGAAAGGCGGTATGCTTTCTGTCACAACCAAGAAATTCGGGACCAATAGTAACAATGGCAGGTGCATCTTCAATACGGAGGATTTTTAACTGTGGAAGTTGGCCTAGAGATGGGAGCTCTCGACATGAGAAGAAACTGTAGATACTCAAATGAGTGAGGTTAGGGAGCATGCTTATCCATTGTGGAAACCTGACGCCATTGAAGAATGACATAAAAAGAATTTCTAAGCTTGGTGGAGGGGCCAAGTCTTCGCAAACCTGTTGCGTCCTCTCAGAGCTCAATGACTGTCCAACTTCCTCATTCCACTCTAATCTTAGTCTCTTGAGAAATGGTTTATCTTTCAGAGGTTGAATGCCTCCAATAAGTATCCTATCTAATCTAAGGATACTAAGATTTCTGAGCTGAGTCATTGGTTGCAGCTCGTCCAAACCACACCCAAGTTGGTCTTTTCCACTCCGATGGCTATCGCCAGCATCATTTAAGCCAACCACAAATCCTTCAAGGTCAACGAGATGGTTCAGTTTTCCAATCCCAACCGGCACATGGGTTACTGGTGCTCTGTAGAAGCCAAGACGTCGTAAATTGCTTAGCTGAGTAATGGTTTTGGGAAGGGATTGTAAAGATTTGCATCCTGAGAGCTGGAGAAACTGCAGGTTGGTTAGGCTCCCAAGAGATTCTGGAAGAGCACAGATATTGGTGTGATCAAGATCCAGAAATCTTAGGTGTTGGAGATTACTTATGGATTCTGGAATGTTCTCTATCATGCTATCAGAAAGACTCAAGACGCGAAGACGCTTAAATCTCTGAGAAAGATCGCGCATCTCAATCTTAGAACACCGAACCATATGAAGAGTTCTCAAGCATAGCGGGGTGTGGACAGCATTTAAAATAACTTCTGGCTCTTTTGCTCGCAATGATAGCCGACGAAGCTTCAATGAGTTCACAGCGGTCAGTTCAGCTCCATCTACAATGTGGCTCTCATTCCGTGTCAGAGACAGAGCAATAGATCGTATCAGATCGTGCATTACGCATTGGCTCCCATCAAGATATTTGGGATCGTAGTTAAGAAGGTTTCTGCTAATCAAATCATTGTAGCAATCTTCTGCTATGTCTTCCAACAGGGAATCATCCCCTTGCGGTGTTATGAATCCTTCGGCCACCCACCAACGAACAAGATCGAGACGAAAGAAGCTATAGTCCTCAGGGAACAGCGAGCAATAGAGAAAGCACTGCTTGAGATGAGAGGGCAAATCTTCATAGCTCAAGTACAGAGCTCCTCTCACTGCTTCCGGAAGCTCCCCTCTAACGTTCCACGCGTGGCTTTTGCAGACGTTCTCCCATTCTCTCTTGCTCCCGTCCTTGGTTCTTAAAATCCCCGCGATGGCTTTGATGGCAAGGGGAAGCCCGTCGCATTTTTCAACGATTTTCACCCCAACCTCCTGCAAATCTTGTTTATCTTCACCAGCCTCGTCTCCGAACACACTTTTAGATAGCAATTCCCATCCATCATCGGCAGGTAGCTTGTCCACGCGGTGGGTGTGAATCACTCGCATGCTTCTAGCAACATCTTCATTCCTTGTAGTGATCAGGACTCTGCTATGAAACGCACCTGCACGCTCCAAGGGCGCCTGTAGTAGGTCTTCCCATACATCGGCCTGCCAAAGCGTCGTCGAGCACCAGCAGGAATCGACTACCCGCAAGTGTTGATCTGAGGAGAGGCTGGAGCTCAGCCTTTGTTTGGGCATGGCCGTGGTCACCACCCGCACTCCTTATCATCTGTTTCTGAGGAGAGGCTGGAGCTCAGCCTTTGTTTGGGCATGGCCGTGGTCACCACCCGCACTCCTTATCATCTGTTTCATCAGTTCAATCTGTGAATAGTTTTGGGACACGCACACCCACAGTCTCTCATGGAAATTGGCTTGCACTTTCTTGTGGTTATATATTTTTTGAGCAAGCGTGGTCTTACCGATCCCTCCGAGACCCACAATGGCAAAAACAAGTATGTTCTCGTTTTCAGACCTGACCAACGAGTCCACGAGTCTATCCGCAGCCATCTTGACCTCCTTTCCGACGAGATCCGAATTGGGTAACGGAGAAGTTTGACGAGTGTTCACCTGGGTCGAAGAAACAGTAGGCGCATCGACGTGCTGTAGGCTAAACATGATCCTGTCTTTGGATATATCCTCCAGCCTTTGGTTTATGTTCTGGATTTCTTTGCCAATCTCATGCCGGAGAGGAACAGCGGACAAGCTTTTAAAGCATGATGAAAAGAAAAGGAAACGGCGACGAGGGGGGCGGCGTGCCGAGGGGGATGAGGATATCTGCTGCGTTGCCTGTCCCTGGAGGAGCTCACGGCCCTTTATTCTGCAAAGGTCGACGATATCATCGGCATCGTACATGACGTCCCTCAACTTGGATAGCCAGCGGTTGACGGACTTGTCTTGGATCCTCCTCCTCTCGGCGTCCACAAGCAGGTCCTTGATGAAGTCCAGCTTCTCTTGAAGCCTCAGGAGTTCATCCTTCACACCCAGTATCATCACCACTTCGTCCGTCACCAATTGATCCAGCAAGTTCAGGCATCTCCCGACGAAGGCATCGACGACAACGGCCATCTCTCTCTCTCTCTTTCACACACACTACTGCGCGCAGTTTGCAGGTTGACGGTGATCGGTCACCAAACTCCTGCATACAAGTTGCATCAAAAAAAAAATCTTTCTTTTCTTTTTGTTAATGAGGAGTGGCAGGAGCATGTGCTGAACCAGACAAAGTCGTGTTTTGTTGAGCCATCTTGGCTGGATTCCTGGGTCATCAGAGTCCGGCTGCACGCATCAAAAAACAAGAAGTAAAATGAAACGTAGGTATTATTTTGTGTGTCAACCAACGAGAGACTTGTCTCTTAGTTTTTAATTTTAGTTTAATAATACCTATCATGGTTATCCTCTTTCACATTATCTGAATAAAATTATAGTAATCATGAATTATGCTGTCAACTTGCACGCCAATTCTTCGACGCTTAAAGCCAAGCTTTCTTCGGTATGGATTTTCCATCATAATGGGGGCAAATCTTCATTGCTAGAGATACCATCAAATAGATCACTTGACGTTACAAATTGCAGTCCTGAGTAAAGACTTACAGGGGGGAACAGAAAAAAAAATGGGGGCAAATCTTCATTGCTCAAGAGCTTCTGAAATGGCCATCTTATGAATTACACCTGGCTTTTATAGACGTTTTCCCATTCTCTCCGGACCCTCTCCTTTGTTCTTAAAATTCCGGCGACGGCTTTGATGGCAAGTGGAAGCCCACCGCATTTCTCAACGATCTTCGTCCCCACCGCATGCAAATCCCGTATAGATTCATCAGCCGCATCTCCGAATACACTTTTAGACAGCAATTCCCACCCATCTTCAGCCGTTAGGTTGCTCACTCGATGAGTGTGAACTGCTCTCATGCTTCTCGCAACATCTTCATTTCTTGTGGTGATTACAACTCTGCTCCCTAATGCAACCCCGTGCTCCAACGGCGCCTGCAGCAGATCCTCCCATACGTCTGCCTGCCAAACATCATCCATTACAAGAAGGAACCGGCTACTTGCAAGTGCCGAGCTGAGGAGAGGCTGGAGCTCTGCCTTGGTTTGGGCATGGCCATGATCACCACCTGCACTTCTTATCATATGCTTCATCAGTTCAATCTCCGAATAATTTTGAGACAGACAAGTCCACAGTCTCTTATCGAAACTGCCTTGGACTTCCTGATGGTTATATATTTTCTGAGCAAGCGCCGTCTTACCGATACCTCCGACCCCCACAATCGCAAAAACGAGTAACTTTCTGCTTTCTGACTTGACTAATGAGTCCACAAGTCTATCTGCAGCCAGATTGACGTCTACTCCGACGAGATCTGAACTGAGCAGTGGAGAAGTCTGACGAGTGTTCACTTGGGTTGTAGAAACACGAGGAGCATCGATGTGTTGAAGGCTAAACATCATCCTGTCTTTAGAGATATCCTCCAGCCTTTGGTTTATCTTTCGGATTTCGCTGCCTACCTCATGACGGAGAGGAATGCTACCCACTCTTCTAAAGCACGACGAGAACAAGTGGCAACGACTGTGATCAAGTTGTTCGTTCGTTCGTAATCGAAGGAGTCGGCGCCCTTTGATTCTGCAGAGGTTGATGACGTCTTCTGCATCGTGCATGATGTCCCTCAGCTTGGTCAGCCAGCGGCTGACGGCTGCTTCCTGGATCCTTCTCCTCTCTGCATCAACCAGCAAGTCCTTGATGAATTCTAGCTTTTCTTGAAGCCTCAAGAGGTCGTCCTTGACACCCAGTATCATCGACACTTCGTCTGTCACCAATTGCCCGACTAGTTCCAGGCATCTCCCGACAATGGCATCGACAACAACCGCCATTTCTCTTTCACTCAAGCTAAGCTAGCAACTTTCTCTCTTTATCTCCCTCTCTCTCTCTCTCTCTCTCTCTCTCTCTCTCTCTCTCTTCACTTAGTCTAAAGATTGAAATTTGCCGATATAAGTGTTAGATTTAGCAGTGGTCGGTCATCAAACGCTTACTCTCTTGCAAAGTGCATGCGCAAACAGCAGACCAGGTCATGTTTTGCAGCGCCATCCTCGCTAGATTTCTGGAGTTCTTGGAGGCCGAGCGTGCACATCAATGTAGTGATTCTTCTGCAGTAGCACCTAACAAATAAGATAAAAACACAAGTAGCATTTAAAAAAAATTAAGCGTTCAATTTTTAATTTTAGTCTTCGAATGTCGTTTTGTGATACCTGCCGTTACTTTGACGTTATCACAAACAGCTGGCGTGCACTCTTAACGAAATATATAGATATACCAAGTGGGCTCACTTAGATTCGATTCTCCTGCAACAAAACTAGAGAGACCACAAGACAGGAAAGCCCAAAGGGTATAAAACTATTGGTTTCTTTTGACTAGAGAACTTCACCACGATCCTTCGCTCATGAGTATCAAACCCCCAGGCGTGGTTAAGGGGCAACTCTAATGTATGGCCTCAGACGTTCTAGGAAATTAAATTTACTTCGATCAGACAAAATACGTTACATTCTTTGAAGGGAAAATAGGAATGGCTAAACTTGTGTTAGGCTAAACTTGTGTTAAAAATGTGAACACAAGCGCTTTATATTTCATTTAGGGGCTGTTTGGTTGGCATTTTTTGCCCTTGTAAAGCTGTCAAAACTGACAAAAGCTGTCAGTTTTGGCAGCTTTACTTGCAAAAACGCTCAAAAATGGGCGTTTTTGCAAGTAAAGCTGCCAAAATTGACAGCTTTTGTCAGTTTTGGCAGCTTTACAAGAGCAAAAAATGCCAACCAAACAGCCCCTTAAGGAACTTCCATTTTTAGTTTCCACAACTTCAAAAATAATACCAGTTTCAATGTTACATATCCTCATATAGCGTCTACCCGCATGAATTCTGTATGTCCCTCAAAAAATAACGGCATGAAATGTTCTTGTCCCCCCTGAATGCAGAGGTTTACATTGAAGGAATTGCAAACACTTGGATATAATATACTTCTTTTAAGTACTGAAAAGTTCTGAGCTCTTATAAGTTTTAAATTGCAAATGTCTTGTTCAGAATCATCCAGGCTTCAGATTGAAAGACCAGAGGCTCTGCAGAGATCTTCGAGCTCGCCTTTGTTGGAAGTTTTGTTCATGAAAAGGCAATTTTGCCTTTGTGAATAGTCCCACATCGGAAAATGAGATGAATAGTAAAGGGTATATAATGGTTCTCTCCTTATTGGGCTTTGAATAGTGTTTTGGGTTTTGTGGGCTTTGCGGTTCTACCACACACGCGCGCGCGCGCACGCCACGCCCGCATCGCCCGCACGCCGCAGCCGCACACCTTTTGCTTCTCAAGCCTTCATTTTTGCACGTTTTACACATTTTGTAACGGCTGCATGCGGGTAACGGAAGCAATAACCGTGTGTAACGGTTCCTTGGATTCAGCGGGGGTTACACCTTTCATCACCTATAAAAGGAGGCTTGGAGCTCATTCAGAAATACACCAACGAAGAGGAAAATCTCTACACTCTCTTCTCTCTACTCTTATACCTCCAATAAAAGATTTCGGCTACATATTTACATATTCTATTTTCTGGGCAACTGTTTTCGTCTGAGCATAAGCTCTGTGTCTCACGCCCGAGTGCAGAGGTCGGCCGATTCCGGGGGTTTTTACCGCTAGGAGAGAGAGGACAAACTGCGCCAGGGCGATAGGCGGGTCCTTAATCTTTTAGGGCAGTGATATCACGACTGCTCCCAATCAGGCCTGAATTTTCTAACTCATTAATTTGTTTATATTATTATATTTCCGTTTTGAAAGCAATCTAGAAGATTAAATATATTCTTGCTGTTAAGATAATTAGTTTTAAAATTAAAAAAAATAAAAATTAAAAAATTAAAAAAATTACTGTTCATCGGGATTACTGTCACCCGAATTTCATATATTTTAATTACTTGTTGTATTAGTTAATTGTTTTAACTTGTTGCATCTAAATTAGTTAAAAAAAATATTATTTCTTTGTTGCTTCTGTGCTCAAATTCAGTATCTGTCATAAACAAAAAATCTTTAAGTGAACCGGTTCAAGTTTTCTTGGATTAGTTGGTGTCTAAGGAAAGGTTTAAGGGTTGCGTAAAGCGCTCTGCAAGAAACGAGGTACTTAATCGATCATTGATCAACCTCTAGTACTATCCTTACCTGGCCAAACTACCCGAGTAAAACTTTAATCTTTTCACTTTTAGAGTTTTTGGTTAAGAGCAGGTTTAATTAAGTTTCTGGTCTAGTAATATTGACAAAATCCTTTTTTATATCAGATTACATCTACCTAGACTAGTAAACTTAAATTGGACTTATGGCAATTCCTGATCATTCAAAAAGTGTCAAACCTGAGAAGTTCACCGGTGTTAACTATAAACGGTGGGCTAATCAGATGAAATACTGGCTTACTACCTTAGGTCTTTTATCTGCTATTGACACTTCTGAGTCATCTACTAGTGGTTCTCAACCTTTGACTCCTGATCCTGCTCAACCTGCTCCTTCCACTTCTGGTTCTGGTGCTAGCTCCTTTTCTAGCTCTATGAAACCAGAAGAAATCAACTATCATTGTTGTCATAGGATTCTTAGTGCACTTGCAGACAACCTTTATGACATATATTATGAGTTCAAAAGTGCAAAAGAACTATGGAATGCTCTTGAAGCAGAATATGACTATGATGATGCCGGAATTCTGCGTTTCACCTCCTCCTCTTTCAATAAGTTCACAATGGTTGATGACAAGCCCATTAATGAACAAATTCATGAATTCCTAGATTTCCTCCGTCATCTCCAATCAAAAGGAAACACTTTTACTGACGATTATAAAGTTTCATGTTTGATTGATAAACTTCCTCCCTCATGGTCTAGATTTGCTGGGGATCTCCGACACAAGCAAGGAGATTTAACATTAACTAAAGCCCTCAAGGCTATTCGTATTGAAGACCAGTATAGGCAAAATTCCAATACCAAGAATGAAACAAAAGCTAAAGTAAACTTGGTAGAGGATAAGCCTAAATCTAAGAATTTCAAACCCAAAGGGAAGAAATTCAAGAAAAATCAACAATCTTTCAACAAATCTTTCAACAAATCTTCCTTCAAACCAAATCCCAATTCTTCCAGCCATAAGTCTGATGAGAAGTTCTGCTTTGTCTGTGGTAGAACCAACCACATGGCTCACAACTGTTTCTTTCGGAAGAAGGAACCGGCCAAACCTGCCCCTAAAGGAAATGGATCCAACAAAGTTAATATGATTGAAATGAATCCAACCTCCTTCAGGTTAGCCTCTTCATCTCATCTTGTAAATTCTCTAACTTCTTCCACTGATTGGTATTTGGATTCCGGAGCAAATATCCACGTCTGTAATGACCGCTCTTGGTTTTCAAATTATCAGGAATCACGTGGAGGAAGCATAAGCTTAGCAGATGACTCCACTAAATCAACAATAGGAAGTGGACGTATAGAGCTCACTATAACTTCTGGGAAAGTTCTTCATCTGCAAGGCGTTTATCATGTTCCTTCTCTCCGTCGCAATTTGATTAGTGAATCTCTTCTTCTTAGAGCTGGTTATAGGATTGTAAAAGAATCCAATAAATTTGTGATTACAAAGAGTAATGTTTTCATAGGAAAAGGTTTTATCTGTAATGGCCTTTTCAAACTCAATGTAATCAATTCCAGTTCTAATGAAATTTCTGAGTCTTCTGTTATTCAAATTGTTGAGTCTTGTGATGTTTGGCATGGACGACTTGGACATGTCAATTTCCAAACCTTGCAGAGAATGAGTAAATTAAACCTCATTCCTAAATCTTCTCATGATCCCTCATCTAAATGTGAAATCTGTGTTCAAGGGAAACACACTAAAAAACCCTTCAAGTCTATAACTAGAAACTCTGAACCCCTCGAATTAATTCATAGTGATGTGTGTGACTCTAACCGAGTTCTCACCCGAGGGGGTAGGAGATATTTTGTGACTTTTATAGACGATCACTCCAGATATTGTTACACCTATCTTCTTAAAACTAAAGATGAAGTCTTAGATAGATTTAAGGTGTATAAAGTTGAATCTGAGAACCAACTTGACAGGAAGATCAAGATTCTAAGATCTGATCGTGGGGGGGAGTATACCTCAAATCATATGACTGAATATTGCCAAGAACACGGTATTATTCATGAGGTTACTGCTCCCTATACACCACAGTCTAACGGGGTAGCTGAACGAAAGAATAGAACCCTAATGGACATGGTGAACTGTATGTTACTCAGTTCAGGAGCACCTGAAAATCTCTGGGGTGAAGCTCTTCTTTCTGCTTGCTTCATTCTCAATAGGATTCCCCAGAAATATTCCGATACAACTCCTTATGAATATTGGAAGGGGAGATCTCCTAATCTAAATTTCTTCCGGGTTTGGGGTTGCTTGGCTAAAGTAGCTATTCCCGAACCTAAGAAGAGAAAAATTGGTTCTAAGACTGTAGATGCTGCTTTTATTGGATATGCACTTGATAGCAATGTTAACAGATTTTTAGTCATCAAATCTGAAATCAGTGACATATCCAACAATACCATCATTGAAGCAAGAGATGCAGTCTACTTTGAAAACATCTTTCCTTTCAAATCTAAAATCTCAGAAAATCCCAGATCATCCATTCCAAAATTGGTTCTAAGACTGTAGATGTTGCTTTTATTGGATATGCACTAGATAGCAATGTTAACAGATTTCTAGTCATCAAATCTGAAATTAGTGACATATCCAACAATACCATCATTGAAGCAAGAGATGCAGTCTACTTTGAAAACATCTTTCCTTTCAAATCTAAAATCTCAGAAAATCCCAGATCATCCATTCCTTCTGATCTTCCATCTTCCAGTTCTTCTCAACCTCTTGATATTGAACCTCGAAGAAGCAAAAGAGGTAGAATCGAAAAGGATTTTGGAGAAGACTTCCTTACCTTTCTTGTTGAAGGTGATCCAAGCTCATTCCAAGAAGCAATGGATTCACCTGAATCTCCTTTCTGGAAAGAAGCCATTGATAATGAAATTAAATCTATCATGGAAAACCATACTTGGATACTCACCGACTTACCTCCAGGTTGTAAACCTATTGGTTGTAAGTGGATATTCAAGAAGAAACTCAGAGCTGATGGTTCCATAGATAAATTTAAAGCTAGATTAGTAGCTAAAGGCTTTACTCAACAAAAGGGCATTGATTATTTTGATACATATTCTCCTGTAGCCCGAATATCAACTATCCGAGTATTACTAGCCTTTGCTGCTATCCATAAGCTTATCATACATCAGATGGATGTCAAGACTGCTTTCCTGAATGGTGATTTAGATGAAGAAATCTATATGCACCAACCTGAAGGCCTCATTGCCAAGGGTCAGGAAAACAAAGTCTGTAAGCTTGTTAAATCTTTGTATGGTCTTAAACAAGCTCCTAAACAATGGCACCAGAAATTTGACAACGTCATTGCACAATATGGCTTTACTGTGAATGAATACGATAAATGTGTCTATTCTAAAGTGATAAACAATGACTATGTCATTCTCTGTCTCTATGTTGATGATATCCTTATCTTTGGAACAACACTTGAATTAA